TCCTAAAAGGTAAAGAGAAGTTCCAAGTTTCTACCGCCGAAAACACTGTTAGCTCAATTTGGCATTAAAAAAAACTAATCGACCTTCAAGAACTATAAACTTTAACAGACCAGATTGTGACGTGGTGAAACTACAGCGAGAGAAAAATACAAAGAGGGAGGTTTAAAGCTTAACGAATGATAAGGTTTACATAAGCGTCGTTTTTATGTCATATGACCATTGAGGTGATAATTGTAAAGTCGAAGGATACATGCCTCGCTACTAACTTTCTTTCTAACGAATCCAACAGGTCAGGCTTTCAACTTCGCTCCAAGTTTCTTCTGTCAAAGAAAACAGCATACGAGACTTTTTTGCCACGGCGAGTTGTTGTTGGCTCATGAAGGTGCCTTGTTAGTTTAAGGTACTGATCTTGTTGCTCTCATTTTAAAGAACTGTCTATTGCATGTCTTCCTTCACCTTGTTTCCAAATTGTTGACTGGCAAAAGCTCTTTTTATGATCATCTTGCTTCTGTACGGCTTAACTCCTGTGCGATTCTTGAAGATACCTCGCATGTCGTGATTACACTGAATCTACATTGTAGCTCTATGCATTAAGCTTATTACAACCTGAAATATTATTAATGGAACTTAAATTAAATTGTTTTCAGCAAAAATGGATCACATACTGGGCCTCTTCTCTGAATGTCTGGTTAAATGCAGGTTCAGAGAAGTTTCAATTTTCTACCGCTATTACTGAACACTCTTAGAGAAATCGCGCAAACGCTAGTCGAATTTCTTCAAGCACTAACTTGAACAGAACAAATTTTATCGTAGTGAACGTTCAACGAGCAGAAAAAAGGGAAGGCCAAGGTTTATAGCTTAAAGATTGATAAGGTTTATATAAGTGTCGTTATTGTCTCATATGTTCATCGTAATGTTGGATGAGACATGTCTCGCTGCTTAATTCCTTCTGACAAATCCAACTGGTGAGGCTTTCAACTTGGCTTAAATTTTCTTTAGTCTCGGAAAATTACATACGAGACTTCTTGTCACCGTGAGTTGTTGTTGGTTCCTGAAGATTACTTCTTAGATTTAGATACTGATCATGCTGCTTTCGTTTTAAAAAACGGTCTATCGCGTGTTTTTGTTCATGTCGCTCGCAATATGATGAGCTTGTAAAGGACTTTTTACAATGCTTGCATGTATACGGCTTCTCTCCTGTGTGAGTTCGTTCATGTCTCTTGCAATTTGATAATCGGCTAAAGCTCTTTTTACAATATTTGCATGTATACGGCTTCTCTCCTGTGTGAGTTCGTTCATATCTCTTGCAAATCGATGATTGTCTAAAGCCCTTTTTACAATGCTGGCATGTATACGGTTTCAGTCCTGTGTGAGTTCGTTCATGCACCTTGCAAACTGACGATCGGCCGAACAACTTTTTACAATGCTTGCATATGTACGGCCTCTCTCCTGTGTGAGTTCGTTCATGTGTCTTGCAAATCGATGATTGTCTAAAGCCCTTTTTGCAATGCCGGCATGTATACGGTTCCACTCCTGTGTGAGTTCGTTCATGCCACTTGCAAGGTGATAGCTGGCTAAAGCACTTTTTACAGTACTTGCATGTATATGGCTTCTCTCCTGTGTGAGTTCGTTCATGTTCCTTCAGTGCAAGTTGATGACCGGCTAAAGCTCGTTTTACAATGTTTGCATGTAAACGGCTTCCCTCCTGTGTGAATTCGTTCATGTCGCTTGCAATGTGATGATTGTTTTCTGGACTCTGGATCATTGTGTCATATGTTTGGACAAAACAGTTTCCTGTCAGTCTCACAGTGCCTTTCTTTAACCAGGTGTAAAAATGGGTACCAGGAATTAACAGGGCCAGGTCATCCAACTTTTAGGCTTAGCACTGATCAGCTGGTAATAGTATGAGAATAACAGCTCAAGACCGTAGAACTCAAAAGAAACATGGAAAAACCAAATAGGGGCATGGACGGGCAAAACTGGAGAAGATTAAGATGGATTACAACAGGGAAAACTGAAAATAATAGCCCAGTGTTTGTCAAGTTAAACTCACTTGCATGACAAAATTATATAATAAATAACATCCAGAAATCAATCTTGCCTATTTATATGCCAGGGGCTCTGATTCAGTTGATTGAATCATCTGAATAACAATGACCTAGCCACTTTAAAAGCTGACGTTTATCATTGCAATCGACAAAAATCTCATCCATAGGGGACTGGAAATACACCTAGTTGCCTCAAGCAAAAGAAGTAGAAGATGTGTGCTTACTGGCTTTGTTGGCCACTAAGCTTGAAAGTAGACTCGACTTTTTATCTTTGTATTAAATGGTCAAAGTAAATAATTTGTTAATTATTTATTATTATTATTATCATCATCATCATCATCATTATATCAACTTGTACCTAATAAATTTAAGTTCACTGTACCTTTAATTAGTCTCTACATAATATATAAATTTGTCTCGATTATTTATAAAGTTAAAAAGCCAAATAATTCTCAGTTTTTATTGTACCCTGTGCCACAGTTATCTTTCCAAAAGAAAAAATCTGGGGGAGCATCGGTGTGGTAGCATTGTTAATTGTGTTCAAGGTCAGGTGATTTTTCCCAGAATGCATGGAAAAATGACCTGATTGGTTGATTGATTAAAAACAGTTTAAAGAAGTATAACATGTGTAAATTGACAGCTTAAAGCTGGACTCTTTTTTTATTATTATTGAAGTTATGTAAATTTTTTTTCTTCTGTTTACAACCCCACAAGTTCAGCTCTTTTCACTGATATTAACTATGAACCAATCTCCATTTAGTCCTACTTCCCTCCTATCAATATGCAAAATTTACTAGTGACTTATTTAAGTATATGTTAAACCCATAAATGTCTCTGATATATTACTTACAATGGGTAACAAAAATAGTTAGGAAACTTTGCGATCTGCACAGAGTCAGAAAAAAACATTGTTTGGGGGAAAGGGGAGAAATGTTTCCAAGACACCTGAAAATAGAATTTTACCCGAAAGTGTCTCACTACTTTTGTCGCTCACTGTAAATCTCTCCTGTAATACCGGTGCAATGTAAATTGCAAGCATGTCTACATTTAATTACTACTGTTGGAGATCTATTACTATGGAATTTCCATACTTGAGCCGAGTATTACGTCCATTGAACATAAGGGCCAACCCACACACGACCGCTGTCATGTGGCTTTGATAGCTCAGTTGGGAGAGCATTGCACCGGTATCGCAAAAGTCGTGGGTTCGAATCCCGTTCAAAGCCTGAAAATTTTTTCAGGTCTTTTTTCCAGTAGTGTTATGGCTGCATTCTCATCCATCATCATGTCAAATACACATTTGTTGAATGGGATGATGTCAAACGTTAAACAAAATCGTAACATAAAACAACAAAATGATACTGAACTGAAAATAAAATAAAACAAAAATAAAAAAGCCGCGACACAAGGGATGGCTTACAATGAAGATTACTAAAATCTAGCGATTACACTATATCTAGCCTGGTGCATTACACTTATTGTATATAGACTTGAAACATTATTACTGGAACTAAAATTTGACTGCTTTCAACAAAAAAGGACCACATATCCGGCCTCTTTTCAGGTTCAGAGGGGCTCCAATTTTCTACCACCATTACTGGGTATAGCTTAATTAACGCCCCCATTTAAGTTGTGTAGATTTTGCTTCAAGGAATGTTTAATGAATGTCCAAGGAAACTATGCACAAATAATTGGATAGTACTACATGCATCCTTGTAATTTTCTTCTGAATGGGTGACAAATTTCACATCCATAGATCAAACTTGCAAGTCACATGGACGATTTAATTAATTACAGAGTGTGATTGTATTGTAATATATGTATTGTAACTAGAGCATGTATAAATAGTGTAAGTATAAGTAGTGTGAGTAGCAAATGCAGTGTAAGTGTAAATGTAAGTATAATATTAGTGCTGTAAGTAGGGTAAGTGTTCATCCTGTAAATAAAATTGCATTAACAAACCTGTGCATCTCTCTACATATCACTGGCATCCTGATTAATTGTGAAACTGAATAGGCAAATAATTCAGAGTTTTGTTTCTGGGTCAAGCAGGTATAGCTTAGCCCATATTTCTGTATCATGAGATTTCGGCAGAGATAAACATAAACAAAGGGAGTTAACCAAGCTAATTCACTACAAAGTAGTATCACTGATGTTGAAATTTTAACAAAAACAGCAATAACATTTCTTCACTGCACATTATTATGACAAATTATTTGACCAGTTACTTGAATAGCTTCCGTGACACTGTATTTTGTAGATTACCCTCAACCACTCATAGTTGTTGTTGTCACGACAAACTACTGAAATCAGTGACAAGTGGTTGTGAAAACACTGAAAGTTTAGTACTCCTTCTTAAATATACTAGTTAACAAATAAAATATATCTTATCAATTCCTTATTAAGTGCTTTATAACAGAAATAAGCATGATCAAGCCTTTTTCAAGTGCTTCAAAATAAAATTTTATGTTTCTCCCAGAAATGGACTTCTGACGGGTCTAACTACATCTGTATAAGTGGATGTCCTCCAAAGGGATACACCCATCACTGCATCTCTTAGTTCTCACTGGCCATCCGCACTGTTATAGCTTGATTTGGTTTACCAATTCTTTTTGAAAGAGCATCTGAATTCCTTCAGGAAAATGACACACCACTTGGTGTCTCCTTGTTAAATTTAGGGAGAGCTGTGATGTTTTAGTCTGTCTTGCCAGGTCGCTGGTCAAAACTTTATTTTCTCAAGAAATATTTGTTACAAGTGTTGGCGATCTGAAATTGAACTCTAGGTGTCACCAACAGTTCAAATGCCTTTCCTGGAAAATAATTTGTCCAATACAACTTAATACTTAATTAATTGAAAACAATTTTACCGCAGGCTATAATCTATTCATGGCTAGTTCAACTTCACGTGCAGATCGTTATCTGTCATTCGAGCAAAATTAGTTTTCTATCGAGCAATATTCGAACGCCACCAAAGTAGACCAAACATGCAAAGTACGCGCATGAGCGCACTACTCGCTCTAATCTTTGATTAGTACTAGTTTGTAAGCTGTGTACGTTGCACTGTCACAAAAACATGCTGTTTTAAGCAGTCGGAGCACTGTTACGTTTATATTTCGTCTAGTGTAAAATACAGACGGCTAGTTTTGGTCCCTTGAACCATGGAAAAAACAATGACAGAAAACGCATTGACCTCGAGTCCACCTCCCAGCACGCACTACCGTCTAATGTATAAATTTCTACATTATAAAAAACACAGGCACGATCCTTGCTGTATTCAGTGAGACGAAAAGAGGTGACACTGTATTCTATAGCTTAGCTGGGCATGAAGAAAGCATCTTTGTAGACTCTCTTACCTTTACAAAGCGACAACGACTCACACGTAGGACGCCATTACTGTGATTACATTGGAACCCAGTCTCTTGCTCGCTCTGGAAATGATGAACAGGTTGGACTGGGAAGGACTGGGTATGTACAAGGGAAGGGTAGGTACTGGAGTGAAACAGAACCTTGTCCATCCTAAGGGCCTGTTTACAAGGAGGGAGGGTTACCCTAGCAAGCGGGTTAACCCTGGCTGGAGGGCTAAAGATAGCCCACGTTTACAAGCCAAATTTTACAGGTAGGGTAACCCTACAACCCGGGACAACTTAATCGCGCGTGCACAAATGACGCAAGCAACCCTAAGAATGAACGAAAACCACTTCAGCAATTGAAAGGCATTAAATCACTTCAGTATAAGTAGCAATAGTTTCAAACTCCGTTCAAACATGTGTTTAAGACTAGGGCGAAAAAAACATGACAAAAAACTCGACAAACAACCGGTAAAAGAGCTCTAAATTACTTTTGCTTTCTCGCATGCGATGCATGAGCGCGCGCTTAAATAAAGGGCATGCACAATTAAATTCTCGTCCAAGGTTGTAAAAGCCAGTCTTTGATTGAAGATTGCTCGAAAACCTACCGTGCAACCCATGATGAAATTTTCACAGTCGATTTGTAGGGGTGAATCACGTCTTATTTTGCATGAATGTTAAATCAGAGCCAATTTCTTATTCCTGAGATTTTGAGGTGGGGTCATACGGGTAGATTTTGAGAAAAACGTAATTTAACCTACTAGTGCCCAGTCTTTTCTTGGGTACTCGGTCGTTCATTTTGGCCATTTGTTGACGTTTAATTGTTCAAGTTTCACATAAAATGGTAAAAGACTTAAGTCAACAGTAAATAGAGAAAGGAAAAACATCTT